AAGATATGACATAGGCTCATGAATTCAGTAATGACTTGGAGAGGGAAAATAAAAGGCCAGTCATTTATTGTCTCTTCCAATGCAAGACATGGGGAACATCAAGAAGACTGCTAGTTCAAAATAAACAAACAAAAAAATACCAAACAAAAATCTTTTTTAAAAGGTTTTTCTTTTCCCTGTGGAGCTCCTTTTCAAATGATGTTTTGAATATTAAAGCTTCACAAGAGTTCAGAAGGCACCTATACAAATTCATAGAAAAATAATCGATGTGAGGCTGTTAAATACAATGACACAGTATAGGAGGTCTGTATAATGTATATTTTTGGAGGCTGGGGAAGAATTATCACTGTATAACTGCTCTAATCCTGCATAAGCATCCATCTTCAGATCTATCACAGATGGATAGGATCTTGGTGGAGATAAATCTTTGGCCTGAACTGATACAGTCATAATCCCATACCCACGTAGAATAGGCTCAAGGAACTAATTTTATTTATTTGCAGTCTTTCCGGAGAACAGAGGAAGCAGAAACAAGGGAAGGCTATCTGAGAGACACAGAGATATTGCCAGAGAGTACAGCAACGGGGTTAGGAAAGCCAAAGCTGAGCTGGAGTTGGAACTATTTAGGGATGAGAAAGACAATGAGTGTGTGAACTGCAAAAGAAAGGCTAGAGAAAATGCATTTGATGAGTATGTAACATGGAATAAAAACTTAAGAAAGGCTTAAGCTATATCCAGTTCTACATTCCCACAAAGAAGGAAAATATGCATATAATAGAGTGAGTCTTGTGAAGGATCAGCAAGATAGATAGGGATGAAGGGACATAAGGCTAAGCTTGTTTGCACTGGAGATGAAAAAGAGAAAGGGGGGAAAGCAACTTTTGTCTTCAGCACTCTTAGGATGGTTAAAAATAAAAGGAGCAAGACTCAGCACAAAGGTGCACAGTGAGAAAACATTAGGCAACAAGTTGAAGTCATAGCAATATAAACTGTGTGTTCAAGTAGGGTCCCAGTATGTGTTCTCATACATGAGTGAGGTTTCCTACCAGTCTGAACTCAGCTTGGCTAGGATTTCCTCCTCTTATGACTTTCCTTTACCTAGAAATGTCTCCCTTCTGCTCAGATGTCCTCAACATATACTGTAATTTTGTGTGTTTTACTGCTGCAAGTTAATATTGACAAATACATTTGATATATAAAAGGGAATATTGCTTGCTCCGTGTGATCTTGCTTTATGTAAATGCCTGAATTTACTAAGCCACTCACATGAGGATGGAGATCACATTGTTCTAGGGGAACACTGCAGGCTAAAGGCAGGTTGTGGCAGGAGGTACAATGTTAAGGTCAACTCTGCTGCATGCTTGCCCAGAAAGGTCAACAACTCTTAGGCAACTACTACATATTAGATAAAAAGAAAAAACAAGATCTCAAGAGCTCACAAGAATGCACAACAGCCATGCTGAGCTCAGGCCTAGTCAGACAGGGATGCCCTTTGGCTTTTAGGCATGGTATAGCCTTACAGGTTTGTACCAAACTGGCAGTGTAAGATGAGCTCTTAGTGACTGTGCTCCTGCTCTTGGCCACCCTCACTAATGTACAACATCTCAAACCTTAAAACACTATTTCATTCCACTCCTTCAGTGCCAACTGGAAAAAAGAACTGGCAAATGGTGAATTCACTCATTGAGGTTCACATCCAAACTGAAGTCTAGGACTGGGGTAGTTCTGCCTTAGTGTCTCCATAGTTCTCAAATCTGGGCTTCCTCATGAAGGCAAGAAGTTAATCAGTCATAACTACTTATTCCATTACATCCATACAAGTAACAATGGGCTAGTGATGGAATTTTTAATAGATCTTCCTTTCACAGTTCCTGCAGGTAAATAGGGCATAGTTAGGGTTATTTCTTCCAGCTAGTAAGAGATTGAAATATGAATAAGAGCATGTGTCAACAGCAGAAGAAACAGTAGAACAAGATTTAAAATAATGGCTTCTGTAGAAAACACTGGAAATTCTTCCCAGGCAAATTGAGGAATTTTATTTCCATCTAACTCAGACCACCGGTGCTCCAATACCCAGGACAGGCAGAGCAATAGGAGCTTCCCTGGGCCAAAAAGAACACAGTTGCAGTTGAACAGTTTATGGCACTAACTTCAGAGAAGCGCCTTGTAAGCAAAGGTTGAAACTCAATCCCTATAGCCTGAGCTGTCCTTTTACAACCTTCCAGGGCTTACATGCTGCTGCTCATTCAATATTTCATATCCTGTCAAGGGAAGCTAAATAAAATCCAAAGCTTGAAACTTGCTTTAAACAAGCATAGTTATAACAAATTTGAATGAATACATGCATAAATACAAAAGTCTCATTATCCTTCAGTAGCAATAAATAGCTCTAAGACATATTGCTGATCCTATTATTACAACATTAGGGAATTCAAAGAATGAACTAACTCTTTTGCACAGGAAAACACAAAAAGTGCTGTGCAGGATCTAGACGTGTATCTAGTGTATCACATGATACTCTTCATGTGAATGTTGTTCACATCAGATATGTGTAACTTGCAATGCCAGTATACGTTGTTCTTGCCCCTGTTGGTGGATCTTCTCCAGAGTGCTGAGGAACTCAAATGAAAGCTGCTAAGTTTTAGGTCTCAGAAGAAAGGCAAAGAAAATTCCACATGCTGATTTCAGCCCAGACCTTCTTGGCTCTGCTTCTGACACAGCCTCAGTGGGCTCTGCAACATGACAGAAACCCCTGATGTCCAAGCTAGTGATAAGGTCACAGCAGTGTTACTCGTCATCATTTCTCAAAGAGTATCACCTCACTGAGGGTTCTCCTCCCCCCTCCAAATCAAATTCAAAAAAAAAAAAAAAACAACAACAACAACAACAAAAAACCCACCTACAATCCGTAAACATAAAACACTGAAACTCTCAAACTAGCTTCTTGATGAGGATTCCAATGAGAAGGACATGTTTATATGGGAAATTAACTGAGTTGTTTTGATCATAACTGCTGGTCTTTAGGCCATTTTTGATGCAAACATTTCCAACATTTCATTTCTGTAAATCAGCTTACTCCTGTTGGTATTACTTTCTTTTCCTACTTCTACCAGTTGTAGAAATTTGACTGGGAGACCTCACAATCTCTTTGGAAGAGTAATTCTATCTCACAGTTCTCCATGTCAACTTCATCTGCACAAATACATGTTTATAACACATTGAACCCACAGACAGTCTTCCAGAGAAGTTTGTTGATAACTAAGAGGGTTTGAATTTCCAAGCTGAAGCACAGAGTTCCGGTTAGGAGCTGTTACTAAAAATAAATTCCAGATGATGTCTTTTCCCCCCAAAAAATGGAATAGAATGCATCAGAGCAACACCTCCACTACTTCCAATCCAAGGCTGAATTTGCTATTCAGCACCTTGAGAGATCCCCCTGTTTACTCCCAGGTGCACAAACCAGTTTAGAAAAGAACACTTTGCAGTAGCCATAGGCTCCAGAAAGTCTCACCTGGGATTCACCAGCATGACAAAACAGAATTACAGCAGCTCTTTTATCATCAAACATGGCCTTTTAAACCCAGGCTTTGAGCTAGCACAAAAGACAGGGCAAAAGCACAAAGTTCTTCAGGAGTCAGTTCTGGCACTACTTTTTCTGTTAGTCTTTTTCTGAAAAATAATCTTCTCCGATTGTTATCCTGGGAGAGATTGCTGGGTTTCGCAGAGGTACATTTCATACCTGATGTAGGTGCTGTTTTAAACTGCAAGCTGCAAAATAGACACCACCAGACTACACAGAGGACACTGCAGTTCCTTCGAAGCTTTCATGAAACGTCTTATCTTGCCACAGAGCTATCTTAGAAGCACTATACAGACCATGTTTTCAAAAGCAGCACATGCAACACCCTTGAGGACTGCAGTTGGAGAGCAAGCTACAGAGGAAGGGAGCCTGGTGTTCAAGAGACAGGGGCTCCAATACCACTTCTAGTTCAACTATCAGAAGCTACTAAAAGAGCACTGGTAAAATAGCTCCTGAAGGTCTTCCAATCACAAGTTTCTTGAGCACTGCAAACAGAAGTCCCAAATTCTCAGTGTTCATGCTTTTCAGCTAGGTTATAAGAAAGACAGGCTGAGCCTGGTCGTTTAGGGGAACTGCCTCCTTCCCCAGGAGGGCTGTGCACCGAGGACCACAACTTGCTGTTCCCAGGTGGAGGCTCAGCCCATTCACTGCAGAGTGTTGGCCCTACAGTTGCCTTTAGAGAAGGAAACCTGTCTGCAGCTTTTGGTAGTGGAGGAGTATCTTCCCTAACTGAATAAACAGAGTGGTGAAAAAAAGCCTGTATTTTATTTCATGCTACTGCAATACCCCCAAATAGCAAGATTTTTTTTTCTCCTCCACACTATTTGCTATACCATAATTAGAATTTGAAGAGAAATAGGAATTAATCAAATACTTCCAGTGCCAGGAATCCAGCTCTCTTCTCACTGAACACGCTTGGATTGTAAAATATAAATCTACACTTCTTAGTTGGCCCATTTGGCATGCAGTAGGAAGAGAGTCCCAAAAGGTTTCTCTTCACTAAATTTTCACACAGGAAAAATTAAAAAAACTACCCAGAGATTCAGCCCAAAAGCATCTTAAAAAGAAAGAATAAGAAATACAGCTGAAACATTTACATGGTATGGTACATATTCATGGGGACAGGAATTTTGGTTGCCTACAAAATGTAAGAACTTAAGTAGCAGTCCTAAAAATCATTGTATTCTCAATTAGTAGTCTGATAATCCTTAAGAATGAGATAAAGATACTACTTTTTGTTTACAGCTCACTGGCACCAGAAAACTTCAAATAAGTATGAAATCATGGTGACATCTTATCTTTTAATTCCTTTCATTTTACACAGTTGCAGAAGAGAATTTCTAAATATGCATATGCACCACTGACTTCTAGCAGAAGCCAAGTACTTCAATAACAACAACAAAAAACCAGCATAAGCAAATAGTTTTCATGGATTTTAATTTTAAATAATTTGAAAGTATTATAAAAGTTACAATGTTGTCTATTCAGACTAATCGTTTTTCCCCCCCAAGAAAATTTAGTGGACATATTCACTGCATCTTTCAGATAACATTCTTTAGAAAACACTTCAAATGCCATGATTTAAGTTTATGTTTTCCAAAAGAGAGGGTTCTGTGTCAGACGTCTCTGGAAGTTCTCATACCTAGGAGGGAAAAAAAAAAAGTGTAGCAATTAGAATGGCTTTAAAAAGATATTTAATATGCAAGCTGTGCAGAGAACAAGAAAAAATGCATCTATTCCATAGCATGAAATGCTTACCACCTATGTTCATAGAGTACCTAGGCACACAGTATTGTTGTAAAGCAAAAGCTACAACAACAAAATTCCCTACGGTCAAAAATGAGTTTAAGAACTACTTTCTATTAAGAGTCCTGCATCAATCACAAAGAAAGCTTACTGCTTATGCTAAGTGCTTACATGCCTGTGCTGATCCATACATGGACACACAGAATTCAGAGAGCCCAAAATACTTTTCTAAAATAATGAGTTAGGTTAATACTGCAGAGATGGCTAAAGAGAGCTAAACTGATAAACTGCAGGTAAGATTTTTTTCAGGTAAGACTTTTTCAGACATTTTAAAGACTGTCTGCAGTTCATCAGACCACATGTGCTATCCCCATAATGAGACATCTGCAAAATCAGTCCCTGAAAAATAATTCTGAAACCTTCTTTTGCCTCAGGTTTGTTGGTGGTATAATCAGGTCAACTAGGAACACAATTTCTCCCTTTCTGTCACATACTTAAGCTACAGAACTATGCTGGAACTATTCCTAGGAAGAGAACAAGCATGACAAATAAGCAGAAACTGACAACCATAGCATGTTCTCTCTTCACATGACTCAAGAAGTATTTGCATAATCAGCAGCATACTGTGATCTACAGTATTTTTCTAATCAAAATCGCTGTATCCAGACACTGAGAAATAAACATAAAAGCAGCAGACAGAACATCTCTTTCAGAGAAACAGTAGCAAATCAGAAATATTTAAATATTTTTTGGCAAGATTTCACCATTCAGCATGACAGTAATCTAATACTTCAAAACTAGCTGTTTATATGCCTAAGAGGGGAAAAAAAAACATTTGAGATTATTTCCATTACCATTTCAGAACTACATTTGCAGGAATGAAAGCTTCAGAAGGATTCGGAGTCATCTGTGCCTGAGTAACGGCAAATGAGGAAGCAAAATTATAGAAGTTATCCAACATCTTCTGAGTGAACTGAAATAAGAGAGACACTTTAAGAGGCTTTATTTCCAATTTATTTTTTATGCAAAAGCTTAATTGATACACAGCTCCCACATGAATTAAAATTAGCATTATTATACCATGTAAAACATCCTAACACTGTCTTGCCCTCAGATCTTTCTACTGTCAAGGAATCACCTTGGAATCTTCAACTCCCCCTCCTTACCCAATTTTTTTTTTCCCATTGGATGAAGAACTTTAAGAAGAACATTTTCCCCAATTCATCTGAGATCACATTTTGGTAAAATCCTGTGGCTTAACCAGTGGCACAGTGACTGCAGCTCATCTTTTCCTCCAAATTTAATCACTGGGAAATGTCTACATTGGCACTAAGTGGCAAAGAGCAGGCCATAGCAAAACAATAGTTATTAAGCCAGCTAAAAATCCTGCAGTGACCTGCCTTGTTATATTACAAACTGCACAGATGTATTTCAAGAGAGGAGCCAGACTCCAGCAACAGGATAACTTCCTTCAGCTTTTATTCTGATACCCTGGCATCCTCTGCCACATCTCCTTGCCAGGAAAAACACAAGTCAGATACATGGCAAGAACTGTGGTAATGAGGAAGTCCAAGTGAAGAAACTGGATTTAGGGATTTCAGCCAGGAATCAGCAAGAGTTGTGTGGAAAGAATGAGACAGCTGCAAATTCCTAGTTAGCTTACAAATAAGCAAGTGTACACTATCTGCTTCCTTCTTTCCTCTTTTCAGGGTTAAAATTATTTTTATATATACATACACACAAATACATACACACTTTTTTTCAATAGGGGAACAAACTATCTTCAGAATAAGAAATGATGGGGGAGGGAGGAGAAAAGGAGGCTGGGGCAATGCATCAGCACCCTTGAACTTCCCACCACCTACGTTGATGCAAGCAGAGACCTAGAATCCAAGGAATGTATCCTCAGGCCCAGCCTCTCTCCCAGAGAATTCTCCTCCTTTGTCTCACTTCATTTTTTATAGGATAACTACGTAAAAATATATCATCATAAATCTTCATAAGCCTTCTTACAATTTAGACGAATAACCGCTTAATTAAGAATAGCGACAAATGATTTTCGCTTTGAAATAATCCATTTTTATGCTATAATGTAGCAGTTTTAAATAGCTGAAAGTAAGATTTGAAAAAAGCCATTATCCATTTACGAACTGTATCCATCTACACGTATCACCTGTATCACCTTCCTTTTTCATCTATGCTTTCAAACATTTCCTAAAATAACACTTTCAGAAGTTTTCTCTAGAAGAGTATTTATATCAAACCCTTGGCTGAAGTCCATTTCTTAAATAAATAAATAAATAAATAATAAGTAAAATTTCAGTTAAAATTTTATCTGTGTCAACCGGGGAAAATCCACCTAGCTGCAAATAACACCAGACAGCTTACAAACAACTTCTAGTCCACACATTATTAAATGGTGACCTAACATTTAGATGTCATTTGCTCCAGTAAATCAAAAAAGCTTGATTAACTGTAACGTATATTAATAGCTGTCAGTCAACTCATCGTCAAGATAGGTACTTTCTGCTTTGAAGAAAGTTATTTGAAGTTATAATGTGTATAATCTGCCAGAGGACATCAGTTTCATTATCAGGATTACTGTTTGATTGTCAGTCTACTTCAATAAACATCTGTATGAAAAGCAAGCAAAGGAAAAAAAAAATGCCTCAAACAGATTCTCTTTGACTTCTTAGGTGTCAAAAGCTGATGCCAGAGCCATCAATGGTTCTGGAAATTTCAACTTCTTGCCTTTTCAATGCACAAGTAACTATTCAGAAGCACCATACAGTGATCTGACACGTTGTTTGCAGACACTAATTTCAGCTAAAATATTGTTAGTGAAATTAACAGTTGCCATGCAAATTTAGCCTCAATTATTGCTCCTAGATGGCTGACTGTTGTTGCTGAGGATTTCCAGAGGTTCAAATTATCAGACTTGCTCAGTAAAAGTGGCTAATGTAGCATGGAAGTACAAGGCATGGTCTGCAGGAAAAAATAGAAAATAATAAAAAATAGAAAATAAATAAAGCACTCTGTCCCAGAAGAATGTGTTTCTGCAGAGGTACATTAAAAGGATTACTTAAGTGTAAGCAGTACCACAAAATCTCTACATGCATCTAGGCTCAAGTCTGTGTTATTATTTGAGTAATTTTTAACCATCCCTGTAAGTCTACGCCCTGAAGTTCCAACATCTGTAAATCGTGTGACATTTGTGTGGCTTTCTCATAGGAGCAGATAAACAATGTTTTTACAGTAGAGTGACAGAGATACTACAGACTGTAACCGATTTCACTGAATAGCCAAAAAAAAAAAATTCCTCAGAAGACATTCTCTCAGAGAAATACGATGTCATCTCAAAACACCACAGCATTCAGCCAGATGATTAGACACCAAAATAAGTTGGTTATGATTTCGTAACTACTGATAGCAGCTAAACACACACACAACTTGAAACAGTGAATGAACAGTTACCTCAGTGAAGGAATCTACTGATGATACAGCAGCACTTGCCACAGGAGTCTGTTGGGCCAAACTCTCCAGCAGTTCAACTGAGATTCCAATCTGGGCTACCGTTGGCGTCTGAGGGAGGTTCATGGCACCGAAGGGGTGTTGGCTTCCTTTTCCTGAAAGCACCATAAGCAGCATAAATGTTAGATTTAATCCGAGTAAGACTATCTTTACCTGTGTTCCATCATGGAAATTGATCCCAGGTACAACAGGAAATACGATCTGTGAGATATAGCAACATCTTGCTTTACAGAAACCAATTATTTAATTCCTATCTTAATGCCTACAGAACACCTCAAAGACATTTAGCACTGCTGCACAATTTTTTGATGCATTCATTCGAATTAAGTGCTGGTGAACCTCTGTGCAGTGTGAATTAAAGTCAGAGTCATCTTCAAAGAACATCCTTTACTGGATCCCTACAGAAAAGTAGACAAACCCCAGGTGAGTTCAGAACAGCTCAAAAGTGCCACCAACCACAGCAAAGGTCACATCTCTATGGCTATGAAACAAAAATCACCATTTTTGCAAAAGTCACAAAAGAAGCAGGCAGAAAACACCCTCCCAGAACTGCAGAAATCTTATACTGGCATCATTCCAGCCCCTACTATCGCTTCTGATCTTCCTTAACCAAGCTTTAACCAGCACTTTAAAAGCCCCAATTTTGGCTACAGATTATTCAAACAACCAGTCATCTACAGTCACTACTTTAGAAAGTCTTAATTAATGAAAGTGCATCTATTCTGTTACTTTGCATGCTGGAATGAGACCTCCCAAGACATATGGCCTGCAGTACGGATATAGATACAGCCACTCTCCTGGACAGCTGTCTGCCTAAAAGGATCAGAGAAAAATTTCCCTTGCCATCCTTATGCCAACATTCAAAATGTGGAGTATAAAGTTATCTCTTACAATCAATATTTTAAACATTATGAATGCAAGGAACATAGCGTATTGATACACTAAAACACAGACTGAAATTTTGGCATTGAGATACTATACTCTGCAAAATACTACGTCATAATCAGAGCAAAGAGCAACCAGAAAAAAAAAAATCTGTCCACATTCCTTTCATGCAATCTTGATCCCAATTCAGCATGACCTTGTCAGAAGCCTTAAGTGTTTGCATCCCTCAATTACAGACATTATTTTACTGGGTAAATTTGGGAAACAGAAGAACACACAAACAAGGAGCCATGTGGCACGGAAAATTTGGAATGCAAGAGGCTATCCCTCTGTCCCACTTGTCAGTACTCTCCCAGTAAGACTGCAGTCCCCCTAAAGGCTGTTTTCCATTCCTGCCACATCTCCAGTCACAATTAAAAAAAAGCACTTAGCAATTTTGAGGTAAAGAACATTTCCAGGCTCTTCTCTACAGACAGTCAAATGAAATTTATCTGCATTCTATTAGCAAAATAGCACATAAAGCAGTCAGAAAGGAACATTCTAATCACACCAGCTGAAGCATTACCAGATCTTATACTGTAAGAAAGCTGTTTGGGCCTAGAGCTGATAAGACCTAGGCTGATACAAATGAGGGCTCTGCTCCCATTCAGAGGGATCTAGAGAGGCTGCCGAAGTGGGCAGAGCAGAACCTCATGAACTCCTCAAACCAGATTTTCATGTTGTTGCCCTACTCACTCCAAACAAGAGCTGATTTCATAAAAGTAATCCTCCCCTTAGCTAGTCTAGAAAAGCAACCTTGGTAACACTACAATATTCTTCTGTAGCAGCTTTCCTAAGGGAGTATGGGTGAGGCAGAAGGAGGGAAAAAAAAAAAAAAAAACAAGCTGTGCCATTGCCTTTGCACTTGATCTGCACAGCCCAGATGTCTTATATATGGCATAGGTAGCTCTGGTATTCTTACAGCACAACTAGTCATTACAGGACCTGCCAGTATGGGCGAGTCACACGTATACAACACCCAGCAAGCAAGTTAATGTCACAATATATACCTGGAGTCATTTTATTGAAGTTTACAACAAAGCTTCTTCCATCATTTTTAATGCACATATTCTTAACATAAAGGATAAAAAGGTGACTTAATCCCTGCACTTTTACAAGTTCTTGCCAACTACTGTAACTTGCAAAAGGAACAGACAGTCTTTATTATTATTCCCTTTCTTTTTCCAAACCAAAAGCAACATCAACTTAATTCTAGCATTAATTGTCCAAATTACCTCTTAGCATTATTATTTTAGCCTGAGCTTCCATCACTAAAAACCATTTGCCTAGCCTCCATGTTTATCATAAGCCTAACTTAAACCTTCATTTGCTGTTTCCCCCTCAGAAAAATAACTATCCTGAAAATACCTTCCCACCTTGGCAGTGGAAATACTCAGCTCGACACTACTGCTTTAACTAAATGGAACCATGCTAGAAACATAATCTCTTGTCACTTCTTACAGGATAAAACTCAAGTTAATCTTCCTTATTCGTTCTCTTCATGCAACTACTACTTACTAGTGAAAACAGACACTCTGAATCAGGAGAAATCTTGGCACCCTGTCCACTTTATGAGGACCTGCCAATGGCATTTGTCACATTCAAGAAATTAATCTGAGGCACTGAAATGCAAAACACAGATTTCAACAGGATGATTCTTACTTTCTAAATCACTCTCTTCTGTCTCACCTTTCTAACCAGTCCTTCTCATCAGAGACTTGTTTATGGCCATGGAAACTAAGGCTATACAGTTTATGCTGACTCTGAAGCCAGATAATCTGTAGACAACAACAGGAAAGCACTGACACATAGCACAGTGCACATGGCATGCAAATTCATCTAGGTCACAGAATTTCCCTCAAATTACAAGACACAGCATTATGCAAAAGAAAGCAAGCTAATATTCACTTGAAAGTAATACCTGGAAGAGCTATTCTTCAAAATCTGAAAACATGTTTTTGCTACAAAGCTCTCTGATGACACACATAAAGAGTCTAGTATAAGGGAAACATTCACCAGCTGAGGAAATAAAACCACTTAATTCTATTTCACTCACTCCACAACTTTGGGACATACAAAACCAGAAAAAATAAAGTTCTCATGTCACTGTTTCGTGTTCTAAGAAAATTCCAAGTAACATGCATGACCAGAAATTATTTTGCCCTGCACCTGGAAAGTCCTTACCTTATATTGCATTACAATACAGTACACATTCAAAAGCAAGCATGCCACCTACTGAATTAATAGATTTCCTCACAGCACAGACAATAGTTATCTAAACAGACATTAAAGTTGAACTTCTAAGTGACACTTAAACATATGAGCATTAACCTATCACCATGGTTCTAAAAACTGCATTACTGGCACACCTATTTCTTTATTAGATGAAAAGTGTGCCTTGAAGGTAGTTCATTTTGATAGCAAAGAGAGGAGGAGAAAAAAACTAATAGACAAAAAGCAAAAATAATAATTAAAAAAAAAAAAAAATCAAACACCATTTCCTGTAGCACTTGCCTTTTCTGACTCCTGAATCTTTATTCAGGTGTGTATCAAGAATAAAAAAGCATTTTGAAAACTGCTTTCCAGTGATAATATCCTGAAGTGAACCATTAAATAGCGCACAGCTCTTGGCATAAACAAAGCCAGGTCTGCAGAAGCACTGTGACAAACTTTACTCATTAAAACAGGTAGTTACAGTGAATAAAATGCCTTGAAAAAAGGAAGTACAAGAAAATATCACAGGCATTTCCAGCCAAGTGCTTAAAACCACGCTAGGGAAGGTGCACAGTGATTCCTCCTCAACTTCCCAATACGGAAGCACTACAGCCTACACACCAATGTTGTTACAATTAAGTCCCAAATCAACACTGACAAGAAGGGAAAACAAGGGAAAGTCCCCCAGGAGCATTAATACACAGCCAAATGTCCACAAAGCCCATCCACTACTCCTTGACACCTCTGGCTTTTCAAGCACCCCTTCGATCAACACCTCTTTGCATCCACTCCCTTAGGCACACAGCAACACACCCATTCCACCGACTGCAACATTTTACTAATCTTACCAGATTTGAGACCAGAAATTTTGAAGATGGCACTTGGCTTCTCGTTAGTGACAAACCCAAGCAGCTGCCACACTGCCATCCCGCTCTGGTCCGGATAACAAAAATAGACAGATCCTCCCATTCCTTCGGGAAAAGGCAAAGTTCCCAGCATGAACACCACAACGTGATTGATGTTTTCATAGTCCGGTAAGTCAAAGACAAATTTGTCCTCAGCGACTTGTTGTGGAGCTGCTTGCACCTGGGAGAAAAGAAAAAAAAATGTTAGTAAAGATTTTGTTCTTTTTCTTTCAACTATAACCATGAGCTTCCCTTTTCAAGAGGACACCAAAGGCAGAATGTAGCAGAGATGTGAAGAATGCACTAACCTAGGTAGCAAACAGAGATGGAAGGCCAATTCAGCAATCCTGCAAAAGTCTGCAAAAATTAATCACAAGGCCTCACAGCCTGACTGCACCCCCCCAGCCAGGACTACAGCAACAGGATACTCTGGCCCCCAACTTGCCCTAGAGCAAGGCTGCAGCAGGGCTTGCCAAGTGTGTCAGCTGGGGCTCCTGACCGCCCGGCTGGCACAACCCCAGCAATCCCAGAAACCTGCTCACACAGAAAACACAACAAGCTCTCAGACAGGCAGTACGAGGATGGCTAAATGCCACAGCACATGCAAACCCCCGTTTCTCAACCCGAAGCGTAATATCCTTGCAGCCAACGTGCAGGCCGGCCTTATAAAGCTTCTTTTAAGCTCCCAGCCCTCCCGAAGCTGACAGGACTGAGCGAAGAGAGAGGAAGGCGACTGCCCCG